GGTTGAGTGGCTGGGCAGCTGGATGTAGTATTCCCCATGATGAGACTGGTAATCAACTCCATGGTGGAATCTACTGTGAGCAGCTGAGTAGCTGCCTTGGGGATGTGGTCTGCTTCCTGTATATAAGGAGAAGCCTTGGGGAATGGTCTCTAGCTTATGGCATACTTGGACCCTGCACGTAGCCGTGTCGTTGTTCAGCAGCCTGCCGTGCTCTGCCGGCTTTGGGACTTTCAATGGACTTAAATTAATGGTTGGTAACATCGGGACTGTACCTTTTTATTTGTCAACCTTGGGGCTTGTCAGCCTAAGCAGCCAACAGCTGTCTGAGTGAAGAAAAGCCTCTAGCTCCAGTGGGCCAGGAGCAGGAGGCAGAGCTGAAGCCTAAGGTCGAGGGACTTTCACCCAGCCCCTAAAGTCTGGCACTTTGAACTTGGACGTAAAGCCTCCAAATTGTAAGAATAAACTCCTGTTTGTTAAAGCATCCCATTTGTGGTATATTCCTGTCAGAGCAGCACTAAGTAACCAGAACACATGGTCTCTAGTTCCTTGGACTAATTATTTCCATGTGCCTTTGGTTTTCATCTTACTTGCTGTAGATGAGGAGAGACCCATCATTGCAACTAGATGATTGTTTGCAAGCTTTTAAGATCCCAGTCGCTACTCACCAAAGTAGGACGTAGAACAGTGTTTTTGTGTAGTGTTATGCCTGTTGAGCTTGATGTCCCTTGCAACCATGGCAAGCTGACACATTTTTGAGAGACATCATTCAATCCATGACAGATGGCTATACTAAAAAATTATAAAGGAAAATAATGAATGGTGGGGAGGATGTGGAGAATTTAGGGCCCTTGTCCTTTGCTGGTGGGCATGTAAAATGGTGCAGCCACCATGGAAAACAGTTCAGCAGTTCCTCAAAAAGTTAAACATAGAGTTGCCATTTGATCCAACACCTCCACAAGAATTTGTATGTAAGTGTTCATGTTGTTGTTGTTAGATGTCATCAAGTCAATTTGACTCAACAACTCCGTGTGACAGAGCAGAACCGCCTTGTGGGGTCTAGGTTGTAATCTTTACAGGAAGGAGCTCTGGTGATGTAGTGGGTAGAGCATCTGGCTGCTTACCAGAAGGTCGGCAGTTCAAACCTACCAGCTGCTCCGCAGAAGGAAGGTGAGGCATTCTTCCGTAACAATTTCCAGCCTTGGAGACCCAATGGGGATTTCTGTGAGTTGGAGTCAACTCAATGGCAGTGGGTTTGGCTTTGGAATCTTTATAGGAGCAGTTACCAGGTCTTTCTCCCACAGAGCCTCTGGGTGGGTTTGAACCACCAACCTTTGGCTTAGTGGCTGAGCACTTAACCTCTGTACCACTATGGCTCCTTCAGGTTTTCA